GGCACAACACGGGTCGAAGATGGCCCTCAGGCGGCCCAAGATGGCCCAAAGACACCCGCCGAAGAATTCCAAATCGTGATGGAGACGGCGGTTGGAGGCAGGGTGGCCCGAGGAAGCCCCCGGAGGCCTTCAGAATACGCCCAGGAGGCCTCCAGAAGGCCTTAAGAAAGCCCGAAACAACTTTTGTGAGGCCCCTAGAAGCTCTCCAAGGAGGAGCCTCCGCAAACAAGAGCTGAGGAGGATGGGGAGAATGCGCAGGGTATGGCGAAAATAAAGAACAATAAGCATGGAAGAAGGATAACGAGTATCATCATTATATCGGCGATGCCGGAAAAGGCAACCAAGAGTTACCGCTAAATTGTCGGCTTGACCTTCCTGCTAGTCCGCCTGCGTACCAAACTTCAAGGACCAAAGTGCATGGCGCGAAGCGCCACTGCAAACGTGTATATATACACATATATATACACATACACACATATACACTTTTTTGATCTGCGGGGCGAGAGCGAACCTCTTCCGCCAAAGGCTAGGCGGGCTACGCGCAGCTTTAATTAAGGAGACAGGGGACAGGAAGGCGGGGCCTCAGGCGGCCGGGGCAGGTGGAGCCCGGGGTGCAGGCGGTGCCGAAGAGCTTGCACAGGAAAAGGTACGCATATATACATACACACATACACACATATTTACACACAAACGCGTAGGTTTTTTAATGTTTCGGTTGGCCCTCTCCTTGTCGGACCTCCCGGGGCGCCTGGGGGGCCCGCGCGGCCCCGACCGGATCCACCTTGAAATTCTGGCCTCGGCGCACTCCTGGATAGGTCTGGGGGTCGAGGGTTGAGGGAGGAGGAGGAGGAGGAGGAGGAGGAGGAGGAGGAGGAGGAGGAGGAGGAGGAGGAGGAGGAGGAGGAGGAGGAGGAAGGAGGATAGGAGGGAGGAGGAGGAGGAGGAGGAGGAGGAGGAGGAGGAGGAGGAGGAGGAGGGGGAGGAGAAGGGAAATGAAGGAGGAGAGATGGCGTCCGCGTGCTTTCTGCCACCGAATGGATCGTTCAACCTGCAACCATCGTGGCCTTCCGACAGCGCAGGTCGCTCGACATCGGCCAATTCCACGCCGCTGGCTGCGTTCTGCCTCGAACGCCCGCGCTGGGGTCGCCGCCGCGCCAGCGAGGCGGGCACCCTCCGTAGCCGAGCGAGCCCTCGATTGTCTGGTTGCTCTTTCGGTTGCCCGTGGATGGCAGACAACGCTGCTCTCCCTCCGTATCTCAGAAAATGTTTGTCATAGAGACACGAAAGAACTTTTAAGATGAAGCCTTACGCAGTTTACAGCTAAGCTCTATCTCAATTATGTCTTCTTAATGTAAATTGATCAATCATTCTAAATATCTGAAAACATGCTTCATCTTAACAAATCAGATTCATCCTAATCTTGAGAAGTCGAATCATTCAACTGTTTATAAGTCTGTGAAGACACACTGCCCCCCCTCCTTCCAGCACGCGCAGAACACCCCGAACACCCCAGATGCCAGCCCGAAGCGCGGGACAGCTCGATGTAAATCCTTCTCGAGGAGCTGGAAGGTACATTCACATGCGTTGTTGGGGTCTCTCCCGTCCAACTCCCGGGGGGCTGCCGCACGTGTAACTTACCATTCTATGTGTCAATGTCGTGTTGGTATGAGAATCACACGGCGTCCCTGGGATAGTCGCGTGCTTGCTTGTTTGTTGTGAGAAACGCATGGGCTTCATATGAATCATGTGCCTTCCACCTGAAGGCCATGCGGCTTTTTTGGTTTCTGTAAGGCTTCACACGAGACTCGTGAACATTTCAGATGGTATACATGTGGATTGTCCGCGAAGTTCTGGTGGTTTCCCCTCCAGGGGCACATGGTCTTCGTACGAAAGCCACGTGGTTCCCAACTGGGACTCGCACGGCTGTCATATGATAAACGTATGGTATGAGAGACGTAAAACTTATGATGCCATAAAACCTGCATGGCTGTCATTTGAAAGACATCTGGCTTCCATATGGCATCCGTTTTCCCATCCGGGAATCGCATTGGTTTCAACATCACATGGATTTTTTCCCCAACCATCCTGCGCTGGGTTCTCGTTTCGTACGGAGCACTGTGGTCGCACACTCCTCGTCCCGCCTCCCTCTCCTCTCTCCCTCCTGCCTCTTACCTCGCCCTCGTGCTTCCTACCTACCTGCCAACCTGTCTCCTACCTCGCCGTGCTACGTGAACTTGCCACCCCTGGGGGCTGCGAATTTCGAAACTTTGCCACTTTTGAAAACTGCTGGGGAGGCCAGCATAGCGGGTACCAGGCGCGAAGCCAGATTGGACCTCACCATCCCTGCGGGGCTGCGAAAAATGAAACTGTCGCCACTTTCGAGGGCTAATTACTGGGGGGCAAGCAAGGTGGGTACCAAGCGCGGACTCAAATTGCACCTCGCCGTCCGTAGGGGGCTGCGAACTACGAAACCGTCGCCACTTTCGAGGGCTGCTGGGGGGGGAGCACAATGGGTACCAGGCACCGACTTAAAACAGACCTTGCCGTCCCAGGGGGCTGTCCCTTGTGAAACTGTCGCCACTTTCGAAGGCTGTTCGGGGGGCCAGCATAGTAGGTACTAGGCGCGGACTCATATTCGACCTCGCCATCTCAGAGGGGCTGCGAACTGCGAAACCGTCATCACTTTCGAGGTCTGTCAGGGGGGCCAGCATGGGGGTACCAGGCGCGAGCTCAGCATAGACCTCGCCATCCCTGGGGGGCTGCGAGGCCTGCGTCGTGGGAACCAGGCGCAGACTCAGATTAGACCTCGCCATCTCAGAGGGGCTGCGAACTGCGAAACCGTCGCCACTTTCGAGGGCTGCTGGGGGGGCAGCATGCCGGGTACGTACCAAGCGCGGACGCAAATTAGACCTCGCCATCGGGGGGTGCTGGGAACTGCGAAACCGTCGCCGCTTTCGAAGACTGCTGTCGACGCTGGGTGCAAAGACGCGGACGGCCTTGACGCCCTGTGGGTGATCTCGAGGGCCGAAGATGTCAACAATTTCTGGATGATGCGGGACCTGGGGCTGGACTCCCCTTCCCGCGGGCCGCCTCGCCTTCTGATCAGTGTTTGGTGAACCCTGCAACGCTAGCGCCTCCCATGTAGCTTCTGCGATTGCCGACGCTTTCGTCAACGGTTCTTTTTGGTTGCTGTGGATGAGCTGTGTACATGGCAGGGTACTTTGATGGCGGCTCGAAGTTCACATGTGAACTATCATATGGGATTTGTTTGATTTTGACATAAATGCCGCACCGTCATACACATAAGGAGCAGGTGGCAACCATATGGTAGCCAGTTACTCTGCATATGAAAGCACGATGGTTTTGATTGGATCATCTGCTCACGTGTAGCAGTCGTACCGCTTCCATCTGAAACAATGTGGTCTCCCAGTGGGAATCGCACGGTTCCCGCGTGAGAGCTGCATGGCTGCCATATTGGACTTGGACAGTCTCATTATTCGAAGGAACCAAGTGTTTCTTCGTATGGGGCCTCTCTGGCTTTCACATGGTCACGCACATGGTATCCATGTGATCACTGTGGGCTCTCCCACGTGAGCCATAAGGCTCTCACATGAATCGCACTTCTGTATGTGGTAATTGCTAGGATGTCCTAGAAGGAAGATGTGGTTCTTCAGCAAGAGCCGCCTGGTGCCGATCGATGAAGCATATGGCTTTCAGACGAGGACCACGCGGTCTTCCCAGAATAGACATGGCTTTCGCACGGCAACCATGTGCTATTTGTTAATGTTTGGTTTTGTGCGGACATTGTTGTTTCACCGCCAAACACGCGTGAGCTCTTAGGCCCAAGAAAACGAACCACCGGCCCGATCCCCGAAGTATCCTAAGGAATCTGGAATAACCCTGAAGAATCCGGACGAGTCCTGAGAACCCCTTGAAAATCCAAACGAATCTGGAGGAATCCTGACGAATTCAGAAGACATGGCCCCAGGGAAACATGAGGAACCACAGAGAATCATACGAATCCTGCAGAATCAGCAAGCGCCCCAGAATCCTGAGGAATCTCGGGAAATCCTAAGAGAGATCAGGAGGACCCCCTGGGAATCCCTTGGAATCCTAAGGATCCCGTGTCCCCTCGCATGCGCCAAATGAGCTTCCAAGGGGTCGGTTGGAACCTTCTCTCTGGAGCGCTTGTAAGCTTAATCGTAACAACTTCTCGTTGGCGTCTAACACGTTCCACATGGCCACCCTTCCTGTTGGAATCTCACCCGTCTCGTTGGGGTCTGACCGTTTCTCCCTTCCATGCCCCTCCTGGCCACCACGCCTCTCCTCCACCACCAGCTCCCAGGTGCCTTCTCATCCTCCACCGCTTCCTCACATGCCTCTCCTCCTCCTCCTCCTCCTTCTCCTCCTCCTCCTCCCCTCCTCCTCCTCCTCCTCCTCCTCCTCCTCCTCCTCCTCCTCCTCCTCTCCTCCTCCTCCTTCTCCTCCCTCTCCTCCTCCTCCTCCTCTCCTCCTCCTCCTCCTCCTCCTCCTCCTCCTCCTCCTCCTCCTCCTCCTCCTCCGCTTCCTCCTCCTTTACCCCCTCCCTCTCTGGCAGCCTCCTCCCTGGAGACATCCTGGCCCTCAGGGCCCTCCCTGGACCGATCCGAAACCTGTCACGCGGCCTTCAGTCGCGGACGCCTCCGCCTCTCCTCACTCGAGTGCCTTCCACTGAGGCTCTCTCCGGTTCCGGAGCAGAGGGCCCGTGATGTTGCCCGCTGGGCGTTCCGACGAAACCAGGGCGCCGAATCGAGGAGGGCGCGCCCACGCGATGCTGCCGTGCTCGCACATAGCTCGCGACCCTTCCCTCGTGCTCGAGACACGTGTGCTGGAGACCGGTCTGAGCACGCCGAACGGCTACTGCAACACTGCCTTCCGCTGTTCGGCCGGAGAGTGTGACGTTGACTGGGACACCCTCCGCGGTGTCAGAGGAATGCAACAAACATGGCGTGGCTTGTTTTTTGACCGCGACGAGGGCAACAAGGCTCAATGCATCTGGGGAGTGGGCCCCATGCAGTCCCACTTGTTACTCGAGCGGGGGTGCATGCCGACTCGGCGCCGACGAGTCGAGCCCCACAGGCCTACAGCGGACGCTCGCAAAGACGAAGCGAACAACACAGAATTCAATTCTCTGGCATGGACAGCAGGCAAGGGCCACCTCCATGCTTAGGAGGTGGCCGTGGCGCGGTCGCTAAAAACCATCTTCACGGCGCAACCCATGCCGACGATCAAAGGAGTCCCCGCAGGGCGCATGCCGGGGGCGCATCTTGGAGCCAACTTTGAGGCCTTGGTCTGCCCCCACAGCCCGAGGCCCGAGACACTTCCGGGAGGCACGCGCTGGGAAGGCAGCTTCTCACCGCTGGCATCTGGCCGCACTCAGAGGCGACGATAGGGGCGAATAGTCCAGGGGAGAGCAATACACGTATTCAGGTGCGCCGATGATCTATGCCTTCGAAAAGGCTCCCGGGCGAATACGTGTAATGCCCGCCCCTGGGCTATTCGCCCCTATCGTCGCCGCCGACGCACGGCAGCAGTCCGACGGGGACTCCCAGCGGGCGGCGCGCCGAGCGGTGTGGGACGACGGGGGCGGCCCTTCTGAGGCAGCGGGGGGGCCTCGGGGCTCTTGGAAGGGCGGACCCGCTCCCCCCCCCCCGCGCCACTCCCCCGTGCGCACCGCCGACCTGAGGGGCAACGCTGTAGGGGGGGACGACAGTCGAGCTTGACTGGAGAGCGCACGCGAGAGGACACAAAACCCCTCCGAGGGCTGCACTGCCACGGGAACGTAAAAGGCACGGTTCTCTGTAAAGACAGAATAGAAGTGTACCCTTGACTTGGCAGGGTCGACCTACTAGTTCAGGCCGACTGTAGTGCAGGGGGGTCGCATCGACTTGGAAATCGGCGATGTATCCGCCCGATAGCTCGGCGACAGGCACCCGATAGCGAATCCGCACGTTCGCGGGCGGGGTGAGGTGTCGGGCCACCGTCGGTGATCAGTGGGCGATTGGGGGTCGATGCGTGCCCACCCCATGAGCCTAGTTATCCCCCCTACGTAACGTTGCCCCTGACGACCTGGGCTGGCCTTGGTCCCCCCTACCCCCGACCCGAAGTCGGCTTGGCTGGCGGCCTGCCTGCTCGCGTCGGCGAACCGCTTGAGCCCGCCTCGAGGCTGCGCCAGGCGCGCGGCTGCAGCGGGCGCGCCGCGCCGCGCAGGTGCGCGCTGCGCAGGCGTGCGCCGCGCAGGTGTGCGCCGAGCAGGTGTGCGCCGCGCAAGTGCGCCGTGCAGCGCGGCCCCTCCGAGCTGGCACGCCGCAGTGTGCCGCCACCGCCGCCGCGCAGTGCGTCCACTCTGGCCTGGCACGCCGCGGGCGTGCTGGGTGCGCCGCCAACTCGCCGCGCAGTGCGGCCTCTCCCGCTGCCGCAGCGCGGCGCCCAGGCGCGGAGCTCAGGCCCTCCACATGGGCCCCGTCTCCGCGGGCCGCCTCCGCCCGACCGCGTCCGGCAGCGCCTCCGTGCCAGCCGGCAGCACCGGTAGGTCCGCCGCGCCACCGGGGGTGGCCAGCCTGCGGAGGTCGCCGTGGAGCGTGGGGGACCCGCGCCTGGCCCAGCCGTCCACGGCGAGGCGGATCTTGCCCGGGACGCCGGCGAAGATGGCGATCGGCTGCCGCAGGAGTCTCAGGGCCTCGCCTCGGGCGACGACCTCGGTGGGGCTGCGGGCCCCCATCTCCCTCTGGGTGAGGAGGTCAGCGACCTGCAGCGGGCGCTGGCAGCGCTTCAGGAACAGCTCCGCCGCCTCGGTATCCCTCAGGGGCGGGAGCTCCACCAGCATGGGCTTATTGTCGCCCGCCAGGAGACCCCCGCGCTCCACGGAGCGGCAGCCCACCAGAAGCTGGGAGCCCTGTACGGCCAGGTGCTCCTGCACCTGCTCCCGCTCGTGGCCCGTCAGCTCGTCAGCACTGTCCACGATCAGCAAGCCTCCCGGCGCCTCGTCGGGGAAGAAAGCGCATCTGCCCGGCTTCGAGAACCTCCGCCCTGGCCTCGTCACCAGGTCGGCGATCTCGCACAGCGTGGCGGAGACGCCCAGTGACGCAGCACAGTGCAGCAGGATGGTGCGCCGCTCCGACGTTCCGAGGCAGGCAAGCACGCCGCGCATCACGTCCACGCGCCCGACGAAGTCCTCGATCCTGCGCCTGAGGGCTGGAGCCCGCGTCTTCCACCGGCTCTGGCGCGGCGCCAATCGCGACGGCTGGAGCGAGGCCAGCATCTGGAGCCGCAGGTCGCCGTCGGACAGCAGCCCGTACTGGGCCTCATCCCCGCTCAGCTCGGCCGCGCACCTGGCGAGGCCGAAGGCGTGGTCCAACGACATGTGGTTCGCGAGGGAGTCGTACAAGCTCCGGGCGAAGCTGGCCGCGCGCCGGTCCCTGATGGAGGTCGGGCAGAAGACCACGTGCCGGGCGCCCGCGG